GTGTGAGCCAGCTCACAGTTTTTTAGCCTCCAGCTCACACAGTTTTGTATTTGCTCAGGAAGGACGGCACCAGAGCAAACTAATTTATGCAGTTGCCAAATCGCTCACTCACAACTTTAACGCCATTAGCTCACAAAGTAGAAGTTTTGCTCACAAGACTCCACAGCTTAGAGGGAACATTGCTGGCAACCCTAAACATTTATCTTGCCAGATCCCAAGTATCCCAAGAATACTTCCATATATAATTTATAGCTTGAAGGCCAGCTGATCCCGAGACCTGAAGACATCCACAAGAGACTTTCTGTGTCCTGCTCTTAAACTTTGCAGTCACTTCTTTGTGTGGGGGGTGGTGGAGCGTTCAAGAAAGGCATAAAGGAAAAATGAAACCAGTTCTCCAAAGTAGTTCAGCTTCCATAAGCATTAATTTTGGTGGGTGGGGGGTCTTTGGTACCTTTTAGGTTTTCAAACAACAGTCTTCAGGAATTATATGTCAGACCTTTATTTCTTCTGAAAGAATGGCCAAGGCTGTGTACATTTTTACAGTTGTATAATTTTATCATTACGCCAACCTAATGAAATAGGTTAGGCCATGGGTCCTCAACATATTTGAACTTGTGGACATTATGGGTGTGCAAGTCCCCCCTCCTTTTTTCATTTTGGGTATATTGAACTAGGGGGGGGAATCAGGTTTCTCAAAAAATCCCAGATTCCAATACCTGTGTGTTGGGTTGCCAGTCCTTACCTTCTGCCAGAGGGGGGCTCTAGTCTGCTCCCCTGAATCTTCTTGCAACTTGGACCCAGAAGTGTTGTCATTGCCCTGGAGATTGCCCTGGAGACCAGTGTTCCCTCTAAACTGAGTTAGTGTGAGCTAGCTCACAGTTTTTTAGCCTCTGGCTCACACATTTCTGTCTTCGCTCAGGAAGGATGGCTCCAGAGCAAACTAACTTATGTAACAGCCAAATCGCTTGCTCACAACTTTAATGCCAATAGCTCACAAAGTAGAGTTTTTGCTCAGAAGACTCCACAGCTTAGAGGGAACATTGCTGGAGGCACGTCGTTGTTAGATCCCAAATCAGGAGAATAGATCCACGTTCAAAAGAAGTAAGATTTATTTCCAAAGCATGGTTGATCATGAACATACAGAGATTGTTCAGAATGAACACAGTATACAGGGAAGGCGTATTAAAGGAACTTCAAACAAGGTTTAACCCAATGGGCACATTTCCCTCGGTCGGGTCGGGCTGAGAAAAGGCGCGAAGCTGCCTGAGAACCTCAACGGTCAGTCTCAAAAACACAATTGGAATTCACACGGGAATACTAAACAAGCCATAGTGCAAAGACATAACATCCCACCACACACCTGCTGGAGAAACTTGGCAGTTACAGATGCATAACAAGCAAAGAACAACAACGGGTGGAGGAAGGGAAGGTTGGGGAAGGGAAAGGGACCTGACACGTCCCGAAGAAATGGCAGCTTGCTGACAGTCGTGCAGGAGATGCTCTAGTATTTGGCCAAAAACTCTATGGTTTTTAGTATTTGGCCAAAAACTCTATGAAAATTTGACATTTCAGTGTAATAAGAATATAGGAACATTTTTTCATATGTGGTGGTGATGTGAAAGAGTAGAAAAGTATTGGAAAACGATACAAAAACTTATCAAGGATATAACGAAGTTAAAAGTGGATTTAACTCCGGAGGTAGCCCTATTAAACATGATACCAGAGGATTATAAAGGAAGTGATAAATATTTATTAACATACATAGTGACCACGGCTAGAATATTATTGGCCAAATATTGGGGGAAAGATAGCTTTCCGACAAGAGAGGAAGTAATATTTAAGCTGATGGAAGTGGCGGAAATGGATAAGTTAACTATTAGTATTCAAGGGAAAGATGGAAGTCTGTTTAATAAAAGATGGGAAAGATTATATAAATGGATGGATGAAATATGGGGGAATTATGACTCAAAGGTATAACAGAATGAATGTATGTAATTTTGAATAAGACTTAAGTAATGGGAAGGAAGAATCTTTGTAAATGATAATGATTTGTGAAAATGATAAATAAAACTTTTTTAAAAAGAAGAAAATTTGACATTTCAGGCAGAAGCTCTGTTTAACAGGATGACTTTTAATCTGTATATCCTATCAGAAGCCCTGCTAGGCAAACACCCCACCTAGACACTCCTACTTTCTAAAAACACTTGGCAGCCACCAGGAAAGGTGTTGGTGGGTACCACTGGGGACCCCTGGGTTAGGCTGAGAGTGACTGGCCCAGGGTCGCTCAGCTTCATGGCTAGGGCCGGCTGTATAACAGGCCAACCTCCTATCCCATCCACTGCTGGCCTTTGCACCTGGAAGGCAGAGGAGATAATTCTTTTTTTAAAGTAGCACTACCAACAGTACATGCCACTACTGGAGTTTGCCAACGTCCAGGTGGGGCCTGGAGACCTCCCAGAATTGTAAACAATCTCCAGACCATAGAGTTCCAGGACCAGTTCCCATGGAGAAAATGGCTGCTTGGGAGGCTGGACTCTCTGGCATTATATACCCCTCTGAGGTCCCACCCCTCCCCAAACCCTCCCTCTCCAGGCTGTACCCCCAAGTTCCAGGAATTTCCCAATCCAGAGTTGGCTACCCATGAGGTTCCTTCTTTTTGTGGGAGTTCGGCTACTGTTTCTGATTGTCTGTCTTCAACGCGACCAAAAGGATTGCTTCCTTTTGCAAGAGTTCAGCCGTGGTGCAAGAGTTCAGGAAGCCCTATAGGGCATGCATGGGTTGATGTTCTGTTTCCAAAGAGTGCAGGGTCAGTGAACAGGAAAGAAGGTTCATCTCTTCTGACTTCTAGGCAGAGCAGCAGAATCTGGAACCTTCTCCACGCTAGCCAGTGGTTTCATGCTTGCTTCTAAGGCAGCCTCATGAGCTCATAAACTGTAATGTGACCTACAGGATCAATGGTGACCTTAGCTGTTTTAATGCATGTAACTAATGTGTATATACAAGCAGTGCTGTCTTGGAGGCAATTGTTTCACTCACCCATATCTGGGGAGGAAAGAAAAGTGTGCATATAGAAGCATGGGGTGGCCAGAAAACAATGTATACAGGTCTGCAGCAGCTTCCTAGAATTTTTTCCGCCCTCTTTTGTTTTTGTACTTTTTCAACCAGCCGTCTTCCTCTTACTGTAATGTCCAGTGAAAGGCAGGCTCATGAGCTCATAAACAGTAGTGTGACCTACGGGATCAATGGTGACCTTAGTTGTTTTAATGCATGTACCTAATGTGGAAATACAAGCAGTGCTGTCTTGGAGGTAATTGTTTCACTCACCCATATCTGGGGAGGAAAGAAAAGCGTGCATATAGAAGGATGGGGTGGCCAGAAAATAATGTATATAGGTCTGCAGCAGCTTCCTAGAATTTTTTCCACCCTCTTTTGTTTCTGTACTTTTTCAACCAGACATCTTCCTCTTACTGTAATGTCCAGTGACTTCTCTTCCTCCCCCTTGACCAAGAAACTCTTCTTTCTTGGTCATGGACTTTCCCCTTGCAATACACTCTTTGGGATACACAGAATTCAAATGAAACTTGAACTCCCAATTTGGCAAGTCTCCCACCTCTCCTAAAACTCTGTACAATACAGTTAGCCAATGTTTGTTTGTTTCTTTCTTTCTGGCGGCTTCTCTTTAACCCGCTGTCTGACTCAAGCAATGTAAACAGGTGAAGCCTTTTCCTGCCTGAAGATGATGGAAGAAGTTATTCCTCTGAAATGTCTGCATGCCAGCAGCTGTTACAGGCAGAAAAAGAATGTGTTATTTAAAGAAGATTTCCATCAATAGCGGTTTTTCATACATTATATACACTTCTTGGTCGTAAGGTCGCAGACTGCTCCTCTCTATGTGTACTTCTTTCCCCTTCCCCAATTCTTCTCTTGAAAAGTCTTGGGGTGGAAATACCAAACCAGCTTTAAACCCCTGACGTGTTTCCCAAACAGTGGCATGCCAGATGGTTTCGCTTGACAACCCTGCTTCTCTGCCCAAGTAACTGAAGCTGAGCAGCACCTCTAGGGCCATGGGAGAAGGCAATGGGCATGGCTGATGCCCATCCTTGCCTTCTGGTCCTGGATCTACATAGTAGGCTTCTCAGCTCCAGTTTGGAGAATTCCTGGAGATTTGGAAATGGAGGCTGGGCAGGATGGGATTGGGGAAGGTTTCTTTCCCCTTCCCCAATTCTCCTCTTGAAAAGTCTTGGGGTGGAAATATCAAGCCAGCTTTAAACCCCTGACGTGTGTCCCAAACAGTGGCATGCCAGATGGTTTCGCCTGACAACCCTGCTTCTCTGCCCAAGTAACTGAAGCTGAGCAGCACCTCTAGGGCCATGGGAGAAGGCAATGGGCATGGCTGATGCCCATCCTTGCCTTCTGGTCCTGGATCTACATAGTAGGCTTCTCAGCTCCAGTTTGGAGAATTCCTGGAGATTTGGAAATGGAGGCTGGGCAGGATGGGATTGGGGAAGGGGAAGTACCTTGGCAGGGTATAATGTCATAGAGTTTGCCCTGCGAAGTGGCCATTTTCTCCAGGGGAATTGATCTCTGTTGTTGGAGATCAGTTGTAATTCCTGGAAATCTCTAGGCCCTGCCTGGAGATTGCTTACGCTAATATGTAGCCACGAGCCAGATCTAAGGCAAGGCTTGAGGTGCTGGCAGAACTGCCGGGGGGGGGGGGGGTGGTTTGTTCCCTGACTGACTGACCAGGAGCACGGCCTACACAGAGGACACCTTCCTAGGGCAGCCACCCAATGCAGTCTTCCACTCTTTCAGAAAGACAGCAAACCCTTTATTCATTTGGAAGATCTTCAGGACTGCAGCTTAGTTTTCACTGTTTCCCTAACTGGCTTTGTGCAACTCCGCCTTTCTGTTGTAAGCAGCCTTGAAGGAAGCTTAATGAAGGAGCTATGAAATAAGGGCAAAAATGAACCTGTGATGATGGGTTTTTTTTTCTTTTACAGACCCCCAAAGGCACTTGTTTAAAATCCGTGAGAACAGCCATTGATACAGGCTACCGCCACATTGATGGTGCTTATGTGTATTACAACGAACATGAAGTTGGGCAGGCCATCCGAGAGAAAATTGCTGAAGGAAAGGTCAAGCGGGAAGATATATTTTACTGCGGCAAAGTAAGAAACCCCTTGTGATTTTTTAAAAAGTGTGATAATGATTTGTTTATTTACTCCTTTTGTACCCAGCCTTCCTCCCCCCATGAAAATGCTTTACATTGTTCTCTTCTCTTCCATTTTACCCTCACAACAAACCTGTGAGGTAGGGTAACTTGTGACTGGCCCAAGAGCACCCAGTGAGCTTCCATGCAGAGTGGAGATTCAAGCCTTGGAGTCTCGCAGATCTTAGTCTGACACTCTGACCATTACCCCACACTGCTGACTGTCTATGCAAGTTGTCAGGCTAGGGATGCCGGCCTCTAGGTGGAACCTGGGGATCCCCTGGAATTACAGCTCATTTCTAGTATACAGAGATTAGTTCCCCTGGGAAAAAATGGATGCAATGGAAGGTGGGCTCTGTGGCGTGGTACCCCACTGAGATCCCTGCCTTTCCCATTCTCCATCCCCAAATCTCCAGGAATTTCTCAACCTGGATCTAGCAACCCTATCACCTCCCCCCATCCCCTGCTGGTGGACGGGGGGGGGGGACCTGGCAACCCTATGCAGGGCTACTTAACCTGCAGCATGTTTTCCTCAGATTGAGGCTGCAGTTTCAGGACTACAGATGAACAAAGTGCTACCAAGAAAATTTATTGCTGGTAGTCTGGAAAACAGCTAACCTCTGCTCAGCTTGAGTCTCGAATAGAGGCCCTTTTAAGGCGCCTACATAGTCCTGGTGTCTAAATAACAATAATAGATTTGGGGGGGTCCTGGTGTCTAAATAACAATAATAGATTTGGGGGGGGTGAGGGTGTTGTGACCTTTTAGTTGGGGCTTGTACTGACTTGCAGTCTCTGAGTATCAGGTGCCAGAAGTCAGGCAAGGCATGGTCATTCAGTCCAGGGGCAGGGGTCCAGACGTCATGCAAGGTAGAGTCGTTTAGTCCAAGGTTAGGGGTCCAGAACTCAGGCAGGGTAGTGGCTTAGCATCTATCATACATGTTGCATCCACGCCTAACAGCCTGTCTTGGCTGGTTTTTATAACCCCATGCCTAAGGGTCATGCTTGCAGCCAGCTGCTCAAAAGCAATCCTGCAACTACTTATCTTTGTTATCAGCTGGCATCAGGCCAGGAGGTGTGCACTTTGCCATCTTGTCTGTAGTTCTGTTCTCAGCCTCCATCGGCAGTGCTCTAAGGGTGTGGGTGATACTGGTGGGCTGGGAACAGCCAAATGAGGTTCACCTGCTGAATCATGGCTGGAGGGTGTTGTGGCTCTGTACCAGCTGTTGGCTGTGAATCCTTACAAGCCTGCAGCTCATTTTCCTGCTGGTCAGCTTCTCATGTTAACTCAAGGCTGGCTACACAGTGCTCCTCTTCTCCTGAGGAGTCCTCACAATCGCTGAGCCCTGGCTGACCCATGACAAGGCTGTTTGGACCGCTTCAGCCCCTGCCATTTTGGAGAGTGGCAAAAGAGGAAGGTGTTCAATGTCAGAGCCATAACTAGCTCATTTTGCACCTGAGGCAAGAATATAAGATCATGCCCTCTATACTTTCGTAATAGATATTTTGGTAAAAAGGTAAATACATAAATAACAACAGTAATAATAACATAATGTTTATTTTAGTCATCGTGATATACTTTTTCTGTGCCCCTCATAGGGTTGCCAACCTTCAGGTGGTGACAGGAGATCTCCCGCTATTACAACAGAGAGCTCAGGTGACAGAGTTCAGATCACATGGAGAAAATGGCCACTTTGGAAGGTGGACTCTGTGGCATTATATCCCATAAATTCCTCCGCAAACCCCACCATCTTCAGGCTCCACCCCCAAATCTCCAGATATTTCCCAACCCAGACCTGGCAACCATAGCCCCTCAGCTTTGTGTACCCTTTTTACAGCTCTGTTAAGTGTATTTGTTGGCGGTGCTATTATTATTTAATTAATTAATTTAGAGCTCACTCTCCCAAAAACCGGCTGAGAGCAGGTAACATCAGTTTATAAATATACAGTTTAAATTTCTAGTAAGTTCTGAGGTAACAAAACTACTTAGGATCAAGGCCTGTTGAACCTCATCTCTTACCATACCAGATCCAGCAGCTTTCTAGTATATGGTGAAATGTGTTGGAAATTCAGAGCTTGCAATGGATCTTTGTTCACTGGAGAGGAGGCATTTTCTTTCTATGTAAAAATCTTTATTTCTAAAGGAAAAGGTACACAGGAAATCTAAAAAACAACAAACACTTAAGAGAACATCCTTGCTGTTACAAGTACAACAACAGACAGACTGACCACACAGTTGGTAATGGAGATTCTTCTTTCTTCTTGACCTGTAGAAGGAAATCACCTGAATACATTAACCAATGATTGTGAGTAAATAGGCTGTAGTTTCCCAGGCTTTCTCCCCATTGGCTTTCTGACAGGTTCCCTTCCAGGTCAAACAATAGCACACAAGGTAAACATATTAACCCTATAATGATTGAATTTAGACCTTGCAACACACATATTTCCAACACCACTTACATGTCCATCACACATGTTAAGTCGGCTACTTAACAAACGAGTCAGAGAGTGATTCAGCAAAAGATCAGCTTTATTCAGCAACTCGTAACTCAACTCCAAACACGGATCAACTCTGATAGCCAGAACAGCTTTTGCATTGAAGCTGTTCTGCTTTTAAACTCTCCTGGCTAATGTAGCCACGCCTACTATACAAATCCCAACCAATAAGGTTGTATACATAAAGGCCAATCACTGACGTTCCCGCTCAGGGAGCTTGATGGCACGTGATTGGTTGGTTCTTCTTGGGCTACCAATACGATTGGAGGGATTAGGATCCTAGCCCAGGACAAAGCTTGACATGGAACTTCAATTACATGATTCACATACAGTCAAGCAGGGGTCATTTGGGGGGGGACGCGGGGGGACGCCATCCCCCCGGGTGAGGTGCGGGAGGGCGGGGCCTGGAGCTCCCTGCTGGTGTCCGCTGGAGGTCGCTGCCGGCTGTGGGGAGGACACACTTCCGGTGATGTCAGGGGGTGTGGCATATGCTAATGAGTTATGCTAATGAGTCCCCCTAGCTCTTTTTCTACGAAATGACCCCTGCAGTCAAGTATTACAATGGCAGCTATTGAATACATCACAACACAATTACAGAGTGGTGTCTATAGAACAAATCTGTTTTGTGGGAGTGCTTCATCTTCAGGTTGGTGATTAGTCCAGGTTTAGCCCCAACTGAATTGGCCAGTTTGGTGTAGTGGTTAAGTGTGCGGACTCTAATCTGGGAGAACCGGGTTTGATTCCCCACTCCTCCACTTGCACCTGCTGATGTGACCTTGGGTCAGTCACAAGCTCTGGCACAGCTGTTCCTGAAAGAGCAGTTTGTGTCAGAGTTCTCTCAGCCCCACCCACCTCACAGGGTGTCTGTTGTGGGGAGGGGAAGGGAAAGGAGTTTGTAAGCCGCTCTGAGACTCCAAGTGAAGGGCGGGGTATAAATCCAATCTCTTCTCTTCTTCTTCAACTGTCATTTTAAGCCACAACGTTTTAGTGGTACCTGTGAAGTACAGTGTGGTTCAAGGTATGGCAGAGTCGTGGATCTAGTTGGAGCGAACGGGTGCCTTTACAGTGCCTTTATAGTGATTAGATTGTTCTAATGGCTTTTTTCTCAGCGTTTCTTCTTTCTGTTTGCTACACTCACTCTGGGAGTCTCATCTCTCTGCTCAAAACAAGTCCAGCTTGCCATCTAGTGGTGCATAACGCTAAAGAGCTAGAACTTCTGGATGCCAGACAATCTTAGGATCTCCTGGCTATACTACACACAATGCCATACTATAATTAATTTACAAATCAGGAATATGGTACTCAGGCTTCTGCTCTCAGGTTCATACAGCAGAGACAGGTGTGCTCCAAAACTTCTTGCCCCAGTAGCAGATATAAAGGCGGACTTGCTACTCAACGACATGGATGTGGCCTACAGGTCATATTCAGGATACATAAAGAAAAATAATCTGCCTGGGGAAATTGTAGTAAGATTCTCGAAGATGCACATCAGGGATGCTATCCTGAAAGCAGTTGCTGCGACACCCCTGAAGGTGGGGGAGAATGCTGTCAGAACGCTAAAGGATATTCCATTTGAAGTAAGACAACGCAGAAAGAAATACAAAGAACTTGTGTTTTTCCTCCAAACAAACTCAATTGGATATAAATGGCTGTTTCCAGAAGGAATAATATTCAAGATCAAGGAGAAGAAGGTCAAGATTGACTCTGTTCTTAAAGCTCAAGAGTTTCTAAAGGAGCAGCTGGGAAGGCCAGAGGACGAGAAAAAAGAAGAGGACAATAAGTCCAGTGGAGAGCTGGAAACTGGTTCGTCTGGTGAGGACTCTTTGTCTGAGCCCCGAAAAGTTCCTACAAATTGTTCCTACAAACTGCGGAAGAGAGAGACGAAGAAGTAAAGGCTGAAGGACTCTGAATTGTGCCTTTGAGAACTTGGGTTCTAGGGGATGATGGGGGGCACTGTTATTGGGCAATTAAATGTAACTGGGGATGGTTAAAAGGGTTAAAAGATTGACACAGTTCATAAGAAGTACAAAGATGAAAAGTCTGAATGAAGTATAAAAAGCTAGTTGGAGATCTCCTCTCTTGGGTTTTTAGTTAGTAGTGGGTTCTTTACTTTCTCCCTTATATGTAGCTTTCCCTTTCCCTTTTTTCTGTTCTAGTTTTTGTAGTGTTTAAAAAATCAATAAAAAATCCCCTCCGGGGGCTTTAAAAATAAAATAAAGGTGTGCTCAAAACCACAGTCATTTATTAGCAAGGAGATATAGGGATGTGAGCAACTGGTTTCAGAACAAAGTAGTTCATTCAGTCTCCATTTCTAGCTAACAACAGAACTAACTAAGCAGGGACTCCACCCCATAAGACTAAACCAATGCATACAAATATCAGAGGGGGAAAGCAGAGTGTTCCATTGTAATGCATACAATAAATACACCATGCTATCCCTGGCATAAGAACATAAGAGAAGCCAATGTTGGGTCAGGCCAATGGCCCATCCAGTCCAACACTCTGTCACACAGTGGCCAAAAATACCAGGTGCCATCAGGAGGTCCACCAGTGGGGCCAGGACACTAGAAGTCCTCCCACTGTTGCCCCCACCCAAGCACCAATAATACAGAGCATCACTTGCCCCAGACTGAGAGTCCCTATCTATATCTTGTGACTAATAGCCACTGATGGACCTCTGCTCCATATGTTTATCCAGTGCCCTCTTGAAGCCGTCCATGCATGAGGCCCACAGCTCAGGGAAGCTCACAGCTTACACTTGCCCACACCCATCTTCCAGTACCTCTGCTACCTATGAGGCCTACTGGCCTTGCCCACTTTCCTGGAAGATAGGATGGGCGTTGTGTTGGGGAACAGTGCTCAGAAGAGCCACAGGTGGCTCCCCAGCCACTGTGTGAGTATCACTGTTCTAGCCATTTTGCGAATCAGTCCTGGTCCAGCATAACCTCACCCTAGTATCACTTTCTGAGGGATGCTAGAATGCAACGGTGGAATAAAAGGCAATATTTGAGTTTAGCAAACACACATGTGGGGACCTGCAAGGAACTTGGGGGGAGGGGGCATCCCATCCCCCTGCCTTTTGCTTCCTGCCCTCTCCCCCACCCCTTCTCCGTCACTCTTCCCCTGCTTTCTTTCTCCCCCACTCACCGGGCTGCTCCCATGGTGGCTTGAGTTTCTGCTCCTTCTCCCCCCCCCCCCCCCTCCCCCCCCCCCCCCGCCTCCAGCATTGCTGCCTCGGTGGGATGGGAGGGGGGGAGTGTCACTGCCTCAGAAACAGGGCTGGCTGGGGAACCCGTGCCCCCTACCCTGCATGCCTCTGTTTTTGGTGCCTCAGCGCAAGAACACCAGGTTCCCGGTTTTTAAAGTAACTGTTTAAAGATTCCCCCAGAGTTTAGTAAGGCTTACTTTCAAGTAAGTTTGCTTAAAATGGCAATCCTTGACCCAACAGGAATTAAGCCTCATTGAAACCAGTGGGCCTTACTTCTAAACCTACAAGTCACAACTAAAATATGCCCCCTCCAACCTACCTTCAGGGACCCAAACAATCTGTTTTAATGAAAAATGCTTAATTTGCTTTTGTGGCATGTGTCAATGTGTTATGTAACATTTGTTGCTGTCTAGTGACTCTCTCCCTCCCTCTCTCTCCC